CTGATCAGATTGTATATAAGCCAATGTTACAAAGGTGTTAAAAGAGCAGAATTTCTGGGGACTTTAACAAGTTATTGTACTACAAACGGAAATAATTATTATGTTTAAGAATAACACATATTTAATATAATTATACATTTGGTTTTCCGTTAATATTGATATATGATATTGGTAGATATATAATAAATGCTACATTTAACATTTATCTAATATTTATAAAAGAATATTGAGTAAAATAAACTTTCTGTACAAAGGCATTACTAATGTTTACCAAAATTTTAACATTGATCGCATTTTATCATTTTTCACAATAATTAACTTTAAAAATGTGGAAATTGATAACATATAAGAAACTGTCGATATTTAAATTATCACACAACTCAAAAAAAAATAATTAATTGAAAAAAATATGAAGAGTTCAAGGTTAACATACTCAAAAAGCATTTATACACAAATTTACCTGTGCCGAAAATATTGACAAAACATTAACTTGACAAAAACTTAGCCGGCGCTGAAAAATGTACCGGTGATTTTCAACTAAGTTTCATCACTCTGTTTAATTACTTAATACAAAATTTCTATGTTGTTGTCACAGTATGAAATAGAATTCTGCTGTTTAATTGAATTGTATCCTGCAGATAATGTTGCGATTATTTTCAACTCAAATAAATGCTACAAGTTGCCTTGTGTATCACATTTGTTTACATTTTAATGTTTACGATAAAAGTTATTTGAATCTTAGTTTTACAAGCATTTGTCTCTGACAATATTATTGCTAAATTGTAAACTTTATAGCATTGCTTGGATTTGATTTATTGCAAAAAACATAACCGGGGAGAAATTATTATTCTTTCTGTTGCAATTTGTTTAATTTGTAAAGAATGCACAAGTCTGGTTTATGTAAAACACATATAAATCAAACAGTTTTATTGGCACATGTTAGTAATTGTATCAGTAATCCTGTCTGACAGATAAAAGTTCATTTCACAACAGTTGGAAAGATATGGGATAGAATTTGTAACAATTTTTGTGATAATATAATACGTTTGTTATGTCAATAGTGAGAGTTTCTGTCTATGTTGTTAGAAATGTGAAAATTGAAGCAGATCAGAGCTCAACGCAGTTGAAAGATATGTAAAATAAAATTCACGAACAATCATTGGAAAGAAAATGCATAGGGGGGTAAGGGATATTGCTTTTTTCCATTATCTCCTATGAACAGGCTCAACTAAACCGAGTCTTGTTCTTGTTAATTGTTTTTTAAATCGCTTTCGAGGACTCACCCTAACTCTAGATTTATATGCTCTTTCATTAGTAGAGATAACAAAAATTCGTATCATGGATGAATATAATTATTTTATTATCATTAACAACTTATCCGAAATAAAACGTAATAAAAATCTTTAAAACGGCCATATTAACCTACGAAATCCTAATATTTACAGCGTACTATTGATGTGTTTAGAATGATAAGTGGTAGAAATTGCCAATTCATATCTATTTAAATTGCCGAAATTTCGGTATACATTTCCCATTGATATTCTATTTGATTTGTATTTGTTTTATGGAGATTAAAATGTATATTTAGCAGCAGCAGACGCTTATTAATAACTTGCAAACAAAAATATCTAGCAAAAAAATCCAAATACATATATATCATTGTCTAAGATAATACTTATTCTGTAATAGATGTTTTCTCGGAATTATGGTTCCGTTTGATCGAAGAACAGCACGTACAAGTATGAAATAGTTTTAAAAAGGTTTTCATTCTCAACAATCTCAAAAACGTCTCCCTTTAAATATATCATAAATCATTCTAAGTATCGAATGTATTACTAATGTAGGGGGGGGGGGGGCTTTTTGTTACATTTAAATTATATGTTAAGCGGGAGGTTGGTAATACGTAAACTTAAACTTGAGTTAACTAATATCTGGTTATTATGAAATAATTGACAAGTTTGTTTGTTTGTTTGTTTGTTTCATTTTACGCCTTTTTCTAACAGTATTTCAGTCATATAGGCGGGTAGTAATTGACAAGTAAAGATATTATTGTTATCAGCGTGCAGAATATAGAGTACATCTACAAGATGATAAATGCATTGATGAAAAGTGCAGTCTGACTGGTAGGAGGGAAATTAGTGTCATTGAAGAACAGATCTTAATATCCATTTACGTGGCTAGTGAATGTTTAATTTGATTAGTTAAATGGTGTGTTATGGCACAGCGAAACTGTTTTTTTTTTGTTTTTTTTTTTTCTTTCTTTTTTTTTTTGTTGTTGATTTTTCTGCCCATGCAATGAACCGATTGACTTTGTTTGAGCTTAACAATATTATTTGTGAAGTATTGTTTCATTTCTAAACTATTATTCAGGGCAGATGAGACAAAATATTTGAACCTTGTTTTGCCTTAGTGGATCAGAAACAATAGTTCCTACATGAAAGGTTATTTTACTTTTTTGAAAATGAAATTCAATTTTTAGAACAGATGTAATTGTACCGCTTTGATAAAAATGAGATGTTACCAGAATAATAGAATTAATAACGATTCGTCCCACTGATGATTCGTTCCATAACGACTCGCTCCACTTTAGTGAAGATTCACCCCAGGTTAGTGACGATACGCCCCACTTCATAATAATCATTACAAAGGTACTATTAAATGAAGCAATAATAAGTTAAAGGTACATTTTGATATATTAAGAAATGAAATATTTTCTTCATTTATGAATAAGAACTGTAATCGCTCATTTTAACTGCTATGATATTCTGTTTTTAATATCAAAACTGATAGACGTTCAGTGACACTTTGCCCCAATTCAATAATCATCATGACTCCATATTCTAAATCATTGTTCTTCAAGAATGTTCAAGTTAATGAAGATATCAGTTTTCCCTTGGTAGTATGCATTGAAATACTCCATGATTTAATGCATTGCGATACTTTATCAAAATTTAATAATAAATTTCTAGTTTAAGAAAACGACGTGTGCCAGAGGATGAGGCAAACTGTTTTGACTTTACGGAACCACTTTTAGTTGGCAACGTTTCGTAGATTTAGGTTTAAACAAGTAGTGAACTTGTAAAAGAAGAAAGAAACTAACAACACTGTAACTGTTACTCCATGCAACTTGAACAGTATTCTTAAATTGTGTTTTCTTAGACCTGTAACTCGTGCATACATTTATTATTAAATATCGTGGCATAGCCTGACAAAAATAATGCGGCAAAACAGTAAAGAATCATGTTTTTAAAACATCCGTTTATCGTCATGACTTCCGTTGATCTTATTTGATGATATGATCTTTCAAAACAATACAATTAGGGTAGTTATATAATATAAGTTAACAAAGCCATATTAAGTAATTTTATAAATTGTTTCATTTTAAAATACCATTAAAAACTCACATATGAAAGTCGATTGTTTTCTTTCCCTTGAAAATACTTTGTATTATCCGAATTTACCCGTCATCTTAAAATAAAAAGTGTTCCGTAATATTGAGTGAAATTTGGTGAATTTTGACAATTTAAACCCATTATTAACCTTTGCAATGAAATGTTACAAAAATGTCTAATATCGGACAATAAACATAATATTTAAGTATAATAAAACGTCGCGATGAAAATGTCATTTATTATATACTTGAAATGTCAAATCTCATCATGGTGTTGTTACTTTGACATCAATTTGTCTATTAATTCTATGTCATTCCCATGATTATGACCTTTTATATAGATATATATGTTCTTTTTTCCCAAGCTTCAAGTAAACATACCAAGATTCATTTTTATTTTATTTTCACAAGTAAGAATATCCTGTAATATTTCTCTTGTATGAATAGAGAAGTTATTTTTCCCTTCACTTCATTCGTTCGAAAATAAAATATTTCTTTTCTAAATATACCTCCTAGATAAACAACTACAGCCAGTAAGTTTGTATATATAGAATGGGCTGGCTACCATTTCGAACCTGATTTTCCCGCTAAATACTCACCAAAATCACGTGCATTATCTACCCAAAAAAGCTAAATACCTAGAAGAAAACAAAATAGTTATAGCATTTATAAAGAAAGAATTGTTTTTCAATAATGCATTGTACCCTAAACTAAACATGATAATAAAGTTAGTTTATTTGTTTTAGCTATCGTATACAAGTTTAATATTTAAAAAATCTTGGTACATGGCCAATGAAAACGCCCCCTTATGCCTTTTATTGTAAATTATTTAATAATATATTTTGTACTTGACCATCCGCCATGAAAAACAACAATTTTAACTTCAAACTTGCCGCTTAAATGTTGTGTTTTGTTTTTGTATCTTTAATTTTTACTTCCCTTATCAAAGTGTCCAAATATACCCTGACCATGGCGATTAAATACATTCTAAGTTAGACCAAACATGAAAGCAGTGTATGGTTAGTATGTTTGTGAGTACTTCAGCAATATTCAATTTTCAACCATCAAGATGATAGCAGCCAGATAACGGGTTTCTTTTAACCAAGTATAAAAGATATGTAAATATTTCTTTGGTCTTGACATAGTGTGAATACCGGTTGTATATGACTATTTCATTGTAATGGCATTCATAACATTTTAGATTTAAGTTGCCGGATCAACATTTTAATTATACATATCATATATTTGTAATATTTATTCACTTACTTTTTTTATATTATGGTGAACCATTATCTAGTCATCATCCATGCTGATGTAGGTAATGAACAACTATGTTCGTAATTTTTATTCTATCTTTACTCATTAGAATATTACATTTATTTCAATTATGTTTATCCATGATCGCATCTTATTCTTTGAAATGTTTAAGAAGTGCTGGGTTTTTATGTATATTATCTAACAATATTAAACTAACGATGCTCAGAAAAAAATCGGTGAGAATTCTTACTATAGCGTGCGGGGTTATATAAAGGCATCACGTGATCAAGATAGGAATAGTAAACGCTTAGCAGAGCATTTCGAGCACATTCGGTTACTGATCTATACTTTATATCATTTGATGAATGCATTTGTTCTTGTTAATTATAATTTGTTAAAATGGAAGAAAAGAAATGTATTCATGCTTTCTAACAAACAAGAGAGTTTAAAAAGGATATTATACATTACCCTGCACGATGGGATAAATAGTGTTTAAAGCTAAAATGCAAACTCGTGTGCTTAAAACTTAAATTAATTTTATAATATGGAAGGAAAACTTAATATTAATTTTGTCGGATAAAGGTTGTTAAAATATAATGTCATTGGAAAATTTACTAGACACTACGAGAGCAGGTCAAAGATGCCCTAAACCTTTAGCAACTAGTAAACAATCTAATTGTGGTGGAAAGGAAATTAATGTCTTAGTTTTGGGGAAACAGTCGTCTGGAAAAACAGGTCAGTTCAATTTTAGTTTATCAGATATACCTGGTTTATTACGAATAGAAATTGAAATAAAATATATTTTTTAATTATTCTTATTATATACGTCCCAGATTTATGCAGCACGTGTTCATTAGAATCAATTTCACATCACCATGCATTCATTTTTACCAATAGAATTAAATGATGTAGAAATAAATGAATACACATTCATCTCATTGTATCTTATTAAATATTAAAACAACAATTATCAAAATGTCATAAGTATAAACTATGTTTTGTTATAATATGCTCATGTTAATATAATTATTGCGCTATAACAAGACAAACGAAAATATACGAACGAAAACAGTATATGAGTAAGAATTGAATGGTCTAAGCGACGAATAATCATATCTAATAGTATATGAAATAAAATATTTATCAAATAGACTGTTATAAAATAACGATTTAATACTTATAAAGCCGGCAATTATTTTGTACTTATACTCTCTGTCAAACCCGTCAATAATTGTCATCTTTCTTTATATTTGTCTTATCATTTATATTGTTAAAGATTTTGTATACCTTTGAACCACAAGAAAATTTAAAACTCATAATGTTTCCTACTGAAAGACATAAACCAACAAACAAAGGGTTAAGTTATGTAAAAACACATCAGTCAAAACAATAAAGTTCAAAAAGGCGTAAAGATAATGAGTTAATTTATTACATCACCTTCTGGGAACCTGTGTTATTTCGTGTACAGATGTTTTTTATCGAAGAGATGTAAACATTTACATAGTATTTGAAAACACTTGTATCTGTTTTTGTCATGTTTTTGCAACAACGACTAAAGCAATAAATACTGATAATAAGATATATATACACATGTTATCCAAATATTATTTACATATTTCAGCAGTAAATGACAAACTTATCATCATATAGAATATATAAATTAAATTTGACTAGAAACTTATTCTTGTAAAGGTAATTTGAGTTGTTGTTATTGCATATAATCGTGTATTAAGCTCTTTGCATCAGCAAAACACTACGGTCGACACACTTTATCTCATACTCGCCGGGACTGTTGAAAAGGTCAAGATAACGAAATGACGAGATAAACGCATATTAAGATTTTGAATCAAACAGAACCTTATTTCGTTTACAAAGCCATCATGCTTTGAAATCAAGAAAACAACAAAAATATAGTTTTTTATTTAAAACTGCATGCCTCCAGATGAGCCAAAATATATCAACTATATTAAAATGAGAAAATATACTAAGATTTAAAGAGTCTCGAGGCATATTGTTGCCGAAAATGTTGCAGACTGGGCAATTTAGATATTTAGGGATTTCATTGTCCCTGTACATCAATAGATGGGTGAATAATACTTCATACGTATTGAGACAATTAGCAAGTTACTATGTAATTGTTGCCAACGAGATATGTTGCCGTTTGAAGCCTTTGAAAGAAAGTTAGATCAAAGTTATCACTAAGACAACACTAACAATGGTTAGATAATACTGTTCAAGAAATATTGATGAATATTCTATCTTATTTTAAAATTACATACATAACTAAATGTAAATTAGAAAGATACAGATCACTGCCCAAGAAACTTAAATTCTCAGTAAATAATAATTTGTTTAAGTATTCAAATGAAATTAAGCGTTTAAGGATGTCTCTCTCCCACAAAACCTGTTATAGATATTAAGAAAAAAATAAATAAAATTTAACGAGATTAAATAAATTACGGAATTCATTGCATTTGGAAAGATATTTTTGCATGACAGAAATTAAACAAAAACAATTATTCACTGGAGCAACGGCTACTCAAACCGGTGCTAAGGGGCCAGTTAAAATATTGTAATTTTCAATTCTTCTCATAAGCATTAAAAAAACATTACTTTTTCATGACAAATGTCACAAACACAACGTATTATAGTTTTTATTTTGTTTTGTGTTGTTTTGCTTAAGGGGATGGTGTTTCTGCTTTTGCTTTTTAAAAAACAACATAAAGTTAGTTGTTAATATATATATATGATAAGTAACCGTTATTTTTATCTTAATGTCAGTCTATTTCAACTTAAAGGTAAAAGTTTTAAATGCTTACACAGTTTTCGCTGAAAAGAGGGCTGAAGAAATTTTTTGTTATTGCAAAGTAGTGTTTAATGTTGTAATGCCTATAGAGTATATATATCATTGCTAAACATCTAATTATACAGAATAAGCGTTTATTTAATTAGATTAGTATTGTATAAGTGTAAGACAAGTTTAATTTGTATCACATTTCTTAATGTCTGGTCTCGTGTCAGGTATATGTTCCATTGGCATTTGTATTACTGCATCACACGTTTAAAAAAAGGTAGCCACGAATGAAATATATATTCTTTATCCTTGTTATTTCATGGTAAATTGTAATAAACGAACCAGTAATGTTCTAACAAGCGTACAAAAACAAGTTGTTTTGTTTTATTTCACGCTTTTGTTGCAATGGTTTCTACTGAATTCGGGATATGAATCGTACTATAAATCGATTCTAGTGTATTTCTATATCATATCTTGGAGGTGTTTCGATTTTAGAAGCATCACATAATCAACAATGATAAGTTTCGAACGTTATGTTTTAGGCTTTTTAACCTCGGTGGATCCTCTTTAATGTTTTTTTAAGGTTTGGTCGCAGCGTACTTTATATCTAAATACTTTACATATATCCTACTTTCAGACTTTGAAATGAAATTGCAGAATGATTTACTAGACAAATGATTTTCTTTAAACCAGGAGTTGATGTTTATTTTTAAATGAATGCCTACTCCATAAATATATATGCATATATTCCTGTTATTCTATTCTTATAGTTTAAAGAATATCATACATTCACGGAACGAAAATCAAATAATTATTTAAGTTAGACTTATTTTGACTTCATGCAATATTCTTTGTTTTGCGCGTTCATTAAATTTGAGGTATTATTTGGTCTTTAAATATCAAAAATTAAAATAGCGAACACAGATTGTTCATGTGTTTTAGAAATTTACTTTTGAATTATTTAAAACTGTAGAAATTAAAACAAAGATTCAGTAGTCTGGTCCCTTATTAACTTAGTCCTGATTTTTTTTTCATTCCTTTATAGAACTAAATTTTATCATATAAGTCTAAATGAGATAACAACTGACAAAAATCGATCAAATAATAAATAAACAGAGAAAGTTAGTTCTCTATGAAACCACATTTAACGACAGGAAAACATATTTTCTTGTTAATGTAACCAAGAAAAAACGCGCCATGTATTGCTTTAGGGACGATGTACTTTTCAGACTGCAATAGATTCTAGTGCAATACTTGTCTAAAATATCGATAAATACATTCATTTATATGATTTCACCAGAAGCAAGGCAATTAGCAAGTTTCTGTGTAATTGTTGCCAAGAAGATACTTATCAGTCTGCAAACTTTGCAATAAATAAAGATCTAAAATATCATGTAAGAAAACAACAAGAAAATAATAGCCTCTGTTACAAAAAAAAATGTATATATTTATTATTACCATTTGCTGAAACCTTGTATATATATATATGTCTACTTAAAAATAAGATAGTGTGGTGGGAATGAACACAGTAATATGTTTTTATGCTTGACTGATTTGTGTGATATCAGAAATGTATGAAATTCCTTTCTGTAGTTGTTCTTTTATATTTCAATTGATGATGATAAAACTGAGCAACTTAAATGAAATATGAACATTTTATCAATTGAAAATGCTTTAGAATAATAGGTTTAATCTTCTTTCTTGTTATATAATATTTTATTATTTTTATGTTCGTTCTTATTTTAATGCTTGAAAGGAGAGATTTCCCAAGTGCAATGAAAACAAAAACTGTAAAATCGTAAAATTTTCTAAACATGGTTAAATGACAGATTAAAAATGCTACATCTTAACAGGCTTCAAATGCCCTCAAACAATTTTAGTTTTTTTCTCGCGCATGACAAGTACTGCACCATTATATCGGACAAATTTATACATACTCTATAATTACGACATGTAAAAACTTCTAGAGATATGTAAGATTCCAAAGTCACAATATTTTATTAAAGCATATGAGCAACATATATCGTAAACTAGACCCTTATACTGCTCTCATGATCACTGAGAGAATAATCCTAGGAGCTATAATTTATTCAGTTTTCATACATAAAGTAGGAAATGAAGGTATTGTTTCCAGGAATATATGTATCACTTTAGAAACCATTGAAATTATCTTAAATCAAAGTTAAGTAGACTTAAGATAACAATAAGGAAATAATACTTCACAATTAATGATAAATATTGTTAAAATGCTATTTCAACAAGAGTAAATAAGGCATAATGACATCAATCTTTCATCTACGATAAGTCAAATGTATATAATATCAATTCTAAGCCTTTGTTTACATGTCTAAAATGATAGAGATAAAGTTATTAACAGTAAATTCTATTATGCACTAAAACAAAGGAAGCATTTTGCACTGAAACGTAGTGTATCAAACATCATCGAAAATAATACATGGAAAAAAATACAATTTCCAATTAAAAGAAAATGAAAAGACATCCTGGAAAAAGGCTAGTTGAAGAAGGGTTTCAAAATTTGACTATAGATGTGATATTTATTGAGATAAACGTAAATGATTTATCCATAATTTATTTTAGTTTAATTGGGTAGGAAGTTTTAAGCTTATAGAGACATTTTCGAATCCGTTCATTGAACCAACCAGTACTGAGCCATCAGTGCAAAGTTTCATGCTCCAGGAAACAACGACTTGCCCCGGGGGGGGGGGGGGGGTAAACACACGCGAATAGCGATCATTAGATTACTAGTCCGTCATGTTTCCTAATCGGCCATGCCGCCACTTAACGTTAATTTGCAGTACCAATATCTAGTTCTCATTAAGTCACATTGACATACAATGTTTTAGAAAGAAGAAGATAATGTTGCATGTCTTCAATTGATATAATATTCAAGACATACTTTCCAAGCTGATCCATCTTTTAC